CATAAGCAAAGAAGAATCACTCTCTCCATATGCTGTTGTGCGGGGGATTATGAAAAAAGAAAAAAAAAACGCATAGTGTTCGAGTCGGCTAGCATTGGATAATAAATGGGCCAGACATTCTGAGGCTGGCACAACTGCCCTTTTTCTACTCGACGAAAAAAACTTCATCAATCCCAGTATCTCTGTGCAATCGCCAAAAAAGGAAGTGCCATTTTATATGATTTATTATTTTTGAGTCCGCCAGGACATTTAATATCGCTCAGCTTTCATATTTCTTGGTAGGCTATATGCTTTCGCAATAAGATGCATCCCCTCCTGTCCCCGGATGATCCAAGTGCAAATCTGCCAAAAGCATGAAATACTAGGATAGAAGGATTGGACTTAAGTGTCATATGTAAGAAGACATTTTACGATGAAGTCTGTGTTTCGTCCCTTAGCTGCAAATATAGACCGAAAGTTGAAATTATAAATAGTTAGCACTCAATTGTGCGCAGAGATAGGAACCAAAAATCAACCAACAGATTCTTAGTTTCCTGATCGCTGACTCAAAATCAAAAATCTATTTCATCAAAAAGAAACTTTCACACGGTTCAGGAGACAGTGCGGGAAACGATCCTCAATATCTGGACTTCACTGCATATTCATCTACAGCTTTACGTTCAAACAAGGGTATGAATTTAGACCAAATTTACGGGCAATTGAAATCTACTCAGCTCCAGCAAAATTCATCAGATGCGGTAGATGAACTGAAAATAACCCGTAGACCTCAGAGTTTTCCGACACACAAAACAAAGCAAATTAACGAAAACCTGACCTTATGGAAAAAACGAAAAAAAGCGAAATCAAGGAATCCCGACTGATGGATAAAAGTTGAAGAAAGCAAAAGCAAATAAAAACTGAGCTTATGCGAGTGGAAATTCAGGTAATAATAAAACTCAGGAACAAAGTGGGGTATAAAATTGTAATTTTTTTTTTGTGGTCAAAATATCAAAGAATACCAAAGCAAATAGTTTCTAAAAGCATTGGTCAGTGAGCAACAGTATTTCTAAGATGACCATTGGTCAGTTAGTAAAGGCATTTCTAGGACGATGACCACTTACTTTCCACCAATTCTTTGTATCATCAATGAGTTTGAGTCGTTCGTTCTTTCGAATCGAAAGTTCACCCTCCTCTTGCGCATCATAATCATATTTAACAACAACGAACACATCCTCACTCATTGCGACCGCAAATATCCGCTTGGTGTTTGGCACCAATCAATCAACAACCGTCTGAATGCTTTCTTCAAAATAACAATAATAACGCCTGAAAGAAATCTGATTTTTTTTGGTGCACAAAATCAGGAAACATCGCGCATTATGCAAATTTTCACGCTGTGAAAACGTTAAACATGTCCAATTAGATTTCGCCAATTTTGCCAAATGTTCAACCACTCGGACAACCAGTGTGGGTATCCCATGTTAGTGATGTTGCTATGATGCTTGCACATGGCTATGGCAGGCTTCACACCCCCTCAAGCTACGTGTCTACGTCTGTTCGACGGATGTACGCCAGCTATTCCGGAGGTCGCCTGAGTGGCTGTTTATTTTCTCGCAGATGCCACTAATTAACCACGTGGTTTCCACGTGCGGATGTGTGAAAATTTTCTCGGTTGAGAAGCGATTTCGGGAACTGCATAAGCTAGAAGGCTAAAATTTTATGAAGATGTTTCCGTGGTCGCGTTCAGTCCAAAGATTTTAAATTCATTCTTCTTTTACCCCGGGGTCTCACGTATGTACACGTCAAAGTTTAAACTGGCATCTTACGTACTCAATGTTTAAGAGGTGGTAAGACAGCAAATTAGATTACATCCTCACATAAGCTTCGGGCATAAGTAAATTCTGATCAATACATGTAAAATATACGCACTTAACGATTAGTAGCGGAAATACGCGTCAAATATATGTGTTCGGAAATTTTTGTAAATGTGAATTCGAAGGTCGCTTAGAAATCCAGCACTCGAAAAACAGATAAAACTGACAAAATTCGGAGTTACTAAGCAGGAAAAGGAAGTTTCACCACATCGCGCATCTAGGACCATCAACCGAGGCTACGAAACAAGTATTTGATGGCTGTGGATGTTCCGATGAGTTACCGAACAAACGTAGTTGTTCGATGCTCCTTTCCTTTCCGGAAGTTTTGCTACTTCTAAGTAATCTGCAGAAATAGTTGGGGAACACCAACCGAGGCTACAAAAAAATTTCTCAGGATGTTATGCTATCAGAAATGAATTTCAACACGTGGAATAAATCCAGAAACATTTCCTCCTCTTCGTCTCGTTTTCCTCCCAAAAAAACACAATGCAATTGTAATTTGTCATTGGAAAGCCGAATTTTAATTTAAAAAAAGCCCTCAAAACTGGACGGTCTGCAACCAAATAAAAAATAAGGAATGGCCAGAGTCAACAAATTTTTAACCCCAAGAAGGGAATGATTTAAGAAAACGAAGTTTAGAAGTAAAGAGAAAGGCTCAGTTCACGGGCATGAAACCGTACTACAAGTTATAAGGTGATGTGAAAAAGAATATGTAGGAATGCAAGCTCCAGTAATTTTTGTTGCTCTGGCACAATATTTGGACTTCAGCAATGAAATTTTTGTATTTTTTTCAAATTTAGCGGTGTTCCGCATCAATTCATTTCCATTCCTCCTTCCTCGTCCTCCTCGCTTCTGAATTGCACAACATTTACAGGTCACTGAAGAAAGTTTTTGGATTTTCTCTTCCGATATAACCATTAAAATACGCAGCCCAACAATCCGGCACCAAGAAATAACGGTATTTTTCAAAAAAAAAAAAAAAAAAAGGCTGGACGACTGGCCGAAATGCAGGACAACACATAGCACGGCTCATTTGGAATGGCGAAACGGTCGCGGCTGGTGCAAAATGAACGGAGGAGAGGGGTGGCCTTGAGGACAGGACGGGGTGCTGTCCCTTCTCAGATAACCAAACCCTCGGCTCTTGGAACTTTATCAGCAAGCAGATCGGCAGCCGCCAGCCCTTCTCACTCCCACCGCTCAACGCTTATTTCTTTTTTTTCTCGCCAAATTTAACTGCGCCCTCATTTACTTCTAATTTAATCCGGCAAAAACCCAAAGACGAAACAATTTGCAAGCACATCGACATTTACGCATACTCATACATACCACACACATATACATACACACATATACATACACACATACATACACACACATACATACACACACACACATACACACATATCACACACACATATACACACCACACACATATACATACACACACAAACACACACACACATGTCCAGAATCAAACAAGTACATGAAGAATAACATAAAAATAAAATGCAAATAAAAATACACACTCAAACGCGCACTCGCATGCTTAGAAACAAATACAAACAAACAAACATGGACACACAAACATATTACACAAACACGCACAAACATAACCCACAAAAACACCCACAAACATAACCACAGCAACAAATACATTATAGGTACAGAAGCAAATTCTAGCACATGCAAAAACTGATAAAAAAATACAGCTGATTCTAGGCAGTCTCATGACATATGATAATTTGAAATTTCCGACCATGAAAGATTGTCAGTTGCTGCAACAATGCCGAGAAGGTTATACCTTGTGGTATTCAATTTAATTTTAACAGTTATAACATTGCTAACTACATGATATATTTATAGGTATCATACAGTTGGTAAGATTATTGGATATGAGCACACATAAATGAATTTTTAAAAGTAAAAGAAACGCGCTTACAGAAATGGTAATATAAAATTAAAGTTATCTTTGTAAATATACGTGCATACACAAATAAACAAAAATATCAAAATCGCCCCGGCTATCTCATAGATATTCATATTACCGATATTACTCGGATACATCTACATGGCGGGCACAATCACACTAGGCCCTTTAATTCTGAATTGCACATTTCCAATTTGTATCCACAGCCTGATCGACATATATGTGGCACTTCCCAAAAATACATGGATAAATAAATAAACAAACAAACAAACACATAAGGCAGCAGGTAAATAAGTGAAGAGGTAAGTAAGCAAGCAAATAAACAAATAGACAAACAAACAAACAAGGTAAACAAATAAGCAGACAAATAAACGGATAAATAAATAAACGGACAATAAATGAACGGACAAACAAAAATGTAAACAGCCGAAGAAACAGGCAAAAAAAATAAGCGAGTGAAGAAAAATAAGCAAGTAAATAAGCGGGTAAAAAAGTAAAGAAGTGAACAGGTGAACAAATTAATAAGTAAACAGGTAAATAAAATAAATAAGCAGATAAATAAGTGAACAAACAACAAATACAAAAATAAACAAGAGAGTGAGCAGACACCTAAACAAATGAATAAATAAACAGATAGATAAATAAATGAAAGAGGAAATAGGCAAATGAATAAGCAAATAAATAAACGACAAATAAAGAAAAATAAGCAAGCAAATAAACAGATAAATTTTAAAAAATGGATAAACGGGCGGATAAATAAATAGGCTAATAAATAAGTAGATAAAGAGATGAATAAATAAACAGGTAAACAAGTAAATACGAAACAAACGGGTGAATAAACAAACGGATAAAAAAACAGATAAATAAATAAGCAAATAAACAACAAGATAAACAAAAGAAGCAAACAAACACATGCGGTAAATGAACATATTCGAAATAAAACAATAATAGCTAGACGCAGAAGTAGGAAAATGCCAAAATCAATCAGCCATACTGCCCAAATGTGCAGTCAATTTTTGATGTTGCAGTCCAGCTACCGCAGGTAAAATAGCCATTTCGTGAGCAGGAGGAACAGAAGCGAATATTTGGCCCAAAAAACTGAAGCCACTCGTTTACTGGTGAAGGAAGAAAGCGGACAAAACCGGACAATCCAGAGGTAACGGAGGGGAGGATACATTCGTTGTTCTCATTGCTAAACAACAAACGGTTAGGCTGAACGGTAAAGCAAACAAGCAAATGCAGCACAATGGTTTGACCTCCCTTTTCCAGTAACATATTTGGGAAGAGACGTTGAGCTGTACTTTCAGTAATGTACAACAAGGGAAGCATACTTATGAAGAATTCTAAAGAGAGACAGAGAGATGATCATGATTCTTCGGGTTCAACACTTCGAGGATATCGACGATGTTGTGAAATTTGCACCAGCCGACAAACTTTCTGCGTGAAAACTCCGGCAAACAGAAGGAAGTGTTTCGGTAGCAAGACTGTGACGGAGAAATGAAAATATTTTACTCGTCCTTCGACAAGGCAGTGATTTCCAAACTACTAAATTACCACCCGCACCAGAGTTAATTCCTGGAAGGAGGATTAGGGAGGG